GGATTCGTACAATGTATGAAAAGTCCTAAATGTCAAAAAAGTGAAATACTGATATATATATATATATATATCAGTATTTTACTTTTTTACATTTATGACTTTATATACATTGTACGAATCCTTGAAAGTCAGATTAATTCTGCAGGTGCTCATCCACAACTAAACTAAAGGCTCAGATTATCCACATTTTCCCCTATCATTTCCAGACAAATTTGATTGATCATGATAATCTCTGTTCCATACTGTATTGTAAAGAATAAGATTTACCAAATAAGTTTATTTTTAAGTTATCAGTAGATCTTGAATAAGAGATCGAATTAGCCTTGTTCGCTTAAACCAATGTGATAGTTAAACTTCACACAATAAAATATCTGAAATGCTTCCGTTTTTCATTCGTTTTCGCTTCGCCTTGTCTCCAAACCGCCTTCTTTTCCTTCAGGCCGGGCCCAAATTTCCATCCTGCACGGGTCTCATCGGCACCCACGACGGCATTCGTCTAGATCGTGCGTCCCTTCTGATAATAAGGAGGGTTGGAGTTTTCTTGACAAACTGGGTCTATTTCTCTTCACATTTGTTGTCGGGCTGGTGTCGACAGGGTAGCTTTGAATTCCAAGTGTTTTCGGCAACATTTTTGTAGACTGTTAATTTAGGCTATTTTTGCGTGAGTGATTTCGTTACCACCAGTAGATGTTGAATCTTTGTAAGAGGTTCAATTCGTCCTTACATCATCTTCAGTGATTTAAGTGGACCCGGTCTCGTATTCAAGCTCTATTGATAAGTTCGAAGCATATTTATTTAGACATATGCTAATATCATAAATTGTGATAACATGCAAAAATTCGTCTATCAGTCCTTATATCACCTTAGGCGACTTAAAGCGATTCGAGTTCGTATTAAAGATTTACTTATTTATACTGCGTATCTCGAACAATTTAAGGCTTAAAATTTATTTTTTTCCGTATGTCTACTGGTGTTTACTTACGTGATTTCGCTTATACACTGTTCGGTATAGATATTAAGGCGCCGACATCAACAGAGAATACAAAGCATTGATTAGAATGCCTGTATTTGCTAATAAGAGTTGAGCCTCGAGGAATTTCTCGGTTTATACACATTTTTTCCATATATTTTCAAAGATTTCAATCGGTGATAACATTTGGTACTTGCGGAGCAGAAATGTTAAAGAGTGCATGTCTTGGATCCTGGCAATCGAACATCACAAATTGGTCTTCGACTCAGGATACACATCGCCTACCTACAATTACGTCCGTTCCACCAACAATTCTGCCAACATTGATTTTTCTTCTTCTGCCTCCGCCTCCTCATCTCATCTGAATGGAATGCTTCTCTCTGGCCCGGCGTACCAAGTCACTTCGCCATCTTGTCATGCTCAACTGCCTGTTGGACACTCATTTACCCAGACCCCTCTGGCTTGTTCAACTGGCCTTGTCTCTCGCACATTCGAATGCCCTCGTTCGTCAGTCTCATCTGGTTTTGCTCCTGCCATTAGTTCTATGCTGGCAGAATCTTGTGAAACAACCTCTGGCCAAGCGTCCCTATCCGACAGTTCTATCAGGGACACAACTTGCCTTTGCGCAACTGGAGACTGTGAAATTGATCTTCATGAGACTCGACTGCATGAGAAGCTGGCTGAATTGGATATTTTCAGGTGAGCTATTCTGTGTAAGGAGTTTTTTCTTAATTTACTTGCATGACTTCGACACTTGGTTCGCCTATACTTCTGTAAACAAATAGCGTAGTTTTTTACTCTTCTTCCTATCATTATAAAAGGCCTTTTGTTTTTTTTTGTTCGCGTGACAAGTAAAATATTTTGATTTTGTTTAGGACCTAGATCCAAAAAAATGGTCTTGATTTCAACAAATAAAGGAAGGATGCTATTTATAAGCGGTCACATGTATATAAATTAATAGAAATTGTTTGACTTTGGTTTCGCAACTTGGTCATAATAGAAGACAGACCTAGAGGAACGCACCTTGCCCTGAGTTCATAGTATGCATGATCATTTCCCGAGTCGGACCGTGGACTTGGTACATTCCCAGACGTTTTGCCGGCATCGTTGTCGGCATCATCAGTGAGTCTTGCCATTCTCAGCAAACCAAGCTACAACTTGTCAAAAAGACAAGTGAAGTCAATCCATTGACCAACTTTCTCTCAAATGGTTATGCTATTACTCCCAGTTTTGTCCTGGTCGCTCTGGACGAGGTCTAGGCTAAATAGTAGGAAATGGATAGAGGGACCAGGACAAAACGAGGAGTGATAACATGACTACTTCGAAATAAAGTTGATCAAGGGATTGATTTTACTTGTCTTTTTGACGAGTTGTAGCTTGGTTTGCTGAGAATGTCAAAACTCAATGACGATGCCGGCAAAACGTCTGGGAATGTATCAATTCCACGATCCCATTCTGGAAATGATCATGCATACTATGGACTCCCGACAAGGTGCGTCCCTCTAAATCTTCCTGCTAATATGACCAAGTTGAGAAACCAAGGTCAAACAACTTCTACAAAACGAAAGGAGATCCATGACCATACAAAAGAACACACCATCCTGGTCTTCATACCTTGTATATAAATTTAGTTTAAAAATGAGATATTGTCTTCTCTATGAAAGGATACTTAGCTTATCCTAGATCAATACATAATTGTAAATAAATGAATCGTTAATGAGCCGATGACTAAGACATTATCATTGTGAAGTTTTATTTCTCCATAAAGTTTGGCATCTGATGACATTTTATAGCTTACATATACATATATATATATACTCTAACTACGATTTAATGGGTTTTATTTGTTTTCTGTGCAACGATTAGGCTTAAATTGGACTTAAGGACCTGAATAAATCAACTATTTTGTCAAAAAGTTTTTATTAAGCGTCATTATTTGCATAGCTGAATTAAAATTTTGTTAGTCTATATTCCTAAAGACACTTTTATATTTTAACATATATTATTAAATCATGAAATTAAGATTGATTTATCTTAATAAGACTCACTACTCTGTGCTAAATCTTTGTTCTACATAAGGTTTTGATATAATATTCTGTGTCCCATAACTAGAATGTCTTTTTAATTAATCTATGGCTATTGCAGCTCTTTACTTTATTTATTTATTTATTCATCTTATCATGATGCTTTTCTTATCTGTTAGCAAACACTACCTATATTAACCAATAGATCATCTGAAGGCACTGTCTTAAAATCATAAAATAATCTAGGGTTTTATTAAACATAATTGGCCTTCGTTATCACTAAGATCAATTAGTTAACTTTGTTTAATGGGACGTTATAGGGAGAATTTTTAAAACCATTTTCAAAGTAAGTTCCCAGTTCGTGGAACTCAATTTACTTATGGTTAAAAAAGTGAGAAAACTTATAGCTATAAAAACGGATGCATTTTGAATTTTGATAATCTTGTTCACCTTATTTATTTCTGTCATGTATTTATTTTTATGTTTTTGATATTATGTTTTTTTCTATAACTGTCATAAGTTCAAGGATATGTCGTTTTATATGGGAATTTTTCTTGACATTATTTAAAACAGCTCAACCGGAAGCCTAAGTAATGTTGCACTGGAGTTGGGACTTGATTAGAGTTTGTTCAACAGTGACAAGAACTCTTCGGACGAAAATACATTCATTGACTAAATTGCAAAATACTAAGTCTAGAAAAATGACCAGATGCCGAACTGCATACTGTTTATAACCAAAATTTTAGTGATATTTACAAACCACTGTCGTTTATTCATATAACTTTTAAGCACACCTGGTTCATAGACTTTTGGTTAGGTATATGTGCGAATTATTTACTACGTATAAGCACACAAAAAAGGCTTTTGGGGCATTACTTATATGAATAAATATATCACTTAATTCGAGTCAATCTAGGAAGGCCGTTAGGCCTCATTATTGCGTTTCCTAATTATTAAAGCCTGAATAAATCAATGGATGTCTATATGAAACCCAAAATTTCAATAATTTTTTTTCGTAATTATATACTTCTCATATTTATAAGGTTGTTAAGGGAATTACGAAAGCAGACCTACATCTTGACTTACAAATCACCAGGATCAGGTAATTTTAGTCTAAGTAAAATTTAAACCTAGAGTGACTATCCATTGGCATTAATTTACAAATTTAATAAGAAATAGGTTAAGCAGGATCAGCTATTCAAGACAACTCTTCTAGACCCCAGATGTCAACTTTAGAAAAATATAATATTGCCACCGAGGAAGCTGGACATTATAACTATTTTTATAGCTAAAGCCTTTTCTCAGTTTTGCCTACTTTTTGAGAATACTTGCAGTGGCTTTATTCGTTTTTTTGCCCACTGGATACCATTTTTATAGAAGCTGTTTGCCAGTTCATAAAAAGGAGGCTATCTGAAAAATATAAGATTCTTGCCCTTTACCACTCCAAATATGGTGGCCCCGAATCGAATAGAGGAAAGGAACAAATATTATTATAAATTGTCCTATTTTAAAACGGCTGAATACGGTATGGGGGCTGAAGATAGAAAGACAATTATTGAAAGGCTGTGTAAAATAGAAAATTGTAAACTCAGTGGGGAGAAAGAGAATAAAGAAAACGGGACAAATTTAAACAGAATGTTATCTACCTCATATACCCTTGCGTAGCTTTCCATGTCAACTTCTGGTTGGACGATGCGATGCCGAACTTTGATTGGACGATGCAAAATAAAGAGTCAAGATTATTCACACTCTTACGTGATCTCTGCGCTAAAAAATGTTGAGCCATGGCTACTAGGTATGGGATGTAACAAAAACTAAACATTGGATGGGAAGTGTGAAGATAGGTCACTAAAGCTCAAAAATCTCATGCGTATTGCATATATCCAGCACATTCGAAGCCATATACCTCAACATTGTAGGATCACGCCTTAATTCATCTAGAAAATGAAATGATTATCCACTAGCACTCGCATCAAATTCACTTATTTGCTAGCTATTAAGGATAGACGTGAGGTCATAACTAAATCATAGGATGCCGTATTTAGATAAATAAATTATATCGATGATATGATTCCGACTACGATGCCGGCGAAACGTTTGGGAATGTACCCAGCCAATAGTCCAATGCTGAAAATCAGGAATTCTATGGCATAGGACACTGGACTAGGCATGCTCCACAAGGTCTCCCTGACGATCTGACCAAATTGCCAAAACAAGGTCGAACCAACACTAAATAAATTTTTTTATAAGAATTTTTAATAATTGAATCCGATAACCATCCTTGATTTTGTCTATACTAAATTTATTGTAAGATTATTTTTTGCTCTGAGGACTGATATAAGCCTAGTCTGAATCCTTCGGGATCACAGGACGATGCGTCGAGTAATCATACATATAGATCAAGTTTAAATTCCATTTTAGTCCTCCCTGTATTTTCTGGAAGGCCAATTTATTTATCTTTACCAATGGACTTTTCATATAAAATAAGAGATATAACGACGAGCAAATGTTTTACCGTTTATTTTTGTAAAATGGGCACTATAGAGAACTTGTCACAATTTTTTATGCAAAAACTCTCTTCGTTTCGACGCTTGCATAGGATGGGCGTTTCTTTGCATGGAAAAATTCAGTTGTGTCTAGCATAAATCAAATATACTACAAGTAGTTCGAGTAATCTGAATAGTTGACTATATAGATTATAGAGTACTCTAATTATTTTGTTTATGAGTGGGGTTTCGAGACTAGCAGTAAATAAGTGATATCAGTGAGTAAATCAGAGTGAGATGTATTTACTATATATCGTTTAAGTTGATGATGGATTGGTAGTTGAATTTTCCCAAATGATGTGAATAGAGGTATTTGAGTTAGATGCAGAAATCGAACAAGCGGTTTGCCCACAAGCCTCTGGCTCATATAATCGGAAAGTAGCTAGGAAAATTAGTTTTAGTATAAGGTTACATTTCTCAGGACACCTTGCTCCATCCTTATTGCAGACACACTGCCATTGTATCTGAAATCCTCATAAAATTCGCATTTATAATGATCTTCTTAATATAGTTGCAGTGTTATTTCAGATGTACTCGATTGGGACCTTTGAAAAAATATTTTTCTTTTACAGTGATGCAATTTCTGTGCCTTCTTATGATTCCAACTTAGTTTAATTAATTTAATTTTTCCGCATGAATTGCGCTGAATGAGGTTTTTCTTTAAACCTCATTTTTCTTAAGAATTTATTGATGCTCATAGAATATCAAATTTTAACCAAGGTTATTTCACAAGGAATGTAAGAAATGAAGCACAACATTCTATCTCAAACATTACATTTTTGGAAGTACTCTGCAACCAACTATTAAAAATCTTGTGTTAGTCTTGGAAATCGCTCATTTCATGTACGTGCTGTCGACTGTAATGCTAAAATTTATGCTTTTTTCAGTTGAAATGAGATATTGAAGAAGCCTGGCATGCCTTGAAATTCACGTATACCCTGCTACTCACTGGTCCCTATGGAAAATGCGAAAGTAGTGAAATTGATGTCAAGGCTTTCATTTTGTATGATAGTACATTACCAGAAGACATCGGCTGATTCACGCTGTACTGCAGCCGTTTGGCCTTAATACGACGAGACATCCTCCAAAGTTTCGGGCGAAGACGGGCTGAGCTCCCGTACATTATGTCACATGACGACCATCGTCAGAGCTGCGACTTATTGTTGCAAAAGCCTCAGGTTAACACTAAATCAAGAAGACAATCCGAATTTTCCTATATGATATATATATACTCATTGCGGGCACAATTTAAGATATAGATGGATATATAAAGGTTTGGGTAATTCACATATACTCTAGTGTGTCTTTCTGTATGTGTGTGTTAACGTCTGCACGCACAACTGGTCATAATTCAAAGTATTTAGAAAAAAGCTTGACGTCAGCACTTGATTATCAAGGCCTATGGACCCAAGAAAAATAAGAAAAAGTTTGAGCGAGATTGCGTTAGTTCACAAATGATCCTGGTTATATTGATAAATGTAAGTCTGTACATATGAAAGTCAGGTTACGAAACCACCGTCAACTTGGAAGATGGTAAGCTAGGCAGAGATGTTCATAGGACATAAGCATATGCTAGTTTTGTTCTCAATTTTATTTTTAACCATAGTTATAATACTAAGGTTGGAATTTTTAAATCTATGCTTATTAGGAGTATGAGGCTTACAAATGGAAATCCTCTGACCGAAGAGTTAAGGAGACTGAAAGTTGTATTACTAGAGAATAATTATCCTTGGAGCTTATTTGATAATACTATATCTTTAGCAGAGACTACTTGGTAAGATAGAGGTGTGACGATACCTTTTCTCATGTTCTAATCCCGCAGTCGTCTTTTTTCCAAGAAGATATGAGAACTAGTGAGGAAGGGGAAATAAAGGCAACTTTCAAATAACCTCTGACACTTTTTTTGGCTATTATAAGATTATATGCTCCTGTTGTCGACCTTATGTTTGCGAGACCTGTCATGCGATCAGCCAAAGATTAGCGGAGCACGAAAATGCTTGTAAATGCAGTTGGGTCAGAAGTGGCGGAGCACGATGGAGACTGGACATGAGATATAATGGTCTCGTACCCAAATATTTGCTGGGTATATATGTCTGCTCCGAAACGCAAGATAAGATGGGCTATTGCCTTGTCTCTTTGACGAGTTGTTGTGCGGTGCTAAGAATGGCGATACTCACTGACGATGCCGACTACGATGGCGGCGAAACGTTTTGGAATGTACCACGTCCACGGTTCAACTTTGGAACTGATCATGGAGACACTGGACTCCGGACTAGGTGCGTTCCTCTAAGTCTGCCTACCAATATGATCATGTTGCGAAAACAAGGTCAAGCAACTTCTATTGAAATTAATGGTGGCAGAAAGTTGATTAATGGTTACTTATGCTTGATTGAGCGATTGAAGGAGTTAGAGGGTATTGAGCCGCCGTCAAAAAGAAGACTGGGTACGTCAGCCGAGTGATGGTTTTTACCAAGTTAACACTCCTTCAACAGATGTGTCAAGCTCATCAGCCAAAACAGACTCGCAATCCCAGCCAAGCTTCTCCTTGTTTAATTACACCATTACAACCCAGACTAACGTGTTCGGACTTATGGTTTCGTAAACTGACTTTCACGTGTGCCGACTTACATTTATCAATATAACCAGGATCACTTGCGGACTAACGTAATTTCGATCACCATTTTTTACCTTGGGTCCATAGACCTGATGTTAAGCAATTTTCTAACTACTAATTATGACCAATTGTGCGTACATACATTAACAAACACACTAGAGCATACGTGAATTAACCAAAACTTTATATATCCATCTATATCTTACATTCTGCCCACAGTGAGTATGTATATCGTATAGAAAAATTCTGATTGTCTTCTTGCTTTAGTGTTAGCCTGAGACTTTTGCAAGAATGAGTCGAAGCTCTGACGATTTTCACCATGTAGTATGATGAGCGGAAACTCAGCACGTCTTTTTCTTAAACTTTGGAGGATGTCTCGTAAGCTGCATCAACCTGAACGTCGTATTAAGGCCAAACGGCTGCAGTACAGCCTCAACCAGCCGACGTCTTCGGATGAGATTGACCTAC